CCCCCTCCCAAAAAAACAAAAAAAAGGAAAAAAGGGGTAAGGGGTGAAGGAGCTAAAAATGAGCACGCAAACAACTGATATCAAACTAATTAGTATCATTATAGGGCCCAATTCTTGTTCTCATTTAGCCTAAATATCTAGCTCCTCTAAATACCTACAGACAATAAGTCAGATTCCTAAGATAGTTGGGGTCAGCACTGAGCAATGACCACAATAGTTTTTATTAGGGCCCACGGTTTGAGCTGGATAACAAGCCCGCCCCTCTACCCTATTCCACTTAAATTGTTCGCAACCGTGAGATGCACCTGACCACACATCACGTGCTATACCACTTATAAGAGTTTCATGAGGCCATTATGTGATTCTCAAATCAGACACTTAAAAACACACATAAGATGCAAGAATAGAAAAGAATTAATGATGATAACCCTCAAATTTAAAAACGAAGATAATCAGCAAGAGAAAGATGAAATAGCCTAACAATAATGAGTGTTAACTAACCTTGATCAATTTCGAACTCTTCAAATTCGTCATTATCCTCGAACAGATCCATTTTCACGTCTTCAGTTGCTGGCTTTGGTTGTTCCGTTGTCATTGCTATTTACTAACAAAAAGGATAAATTTACATTAGTAACATTAACAGATAGCTACAAGAAAGAAAAGTAAGTTTTTTATAACAATAAACAAAAATCCAGATGGTAAACCCTAACTGCCGATAATGGAAAATAGGACTGCATATACTTAATCGAAGTGGAAATTGAAAATTAAACAAAAAAAAACCAAACTTACAAAGATTTGGTGAATATTGACGAGCTATAATTTTGGTACTGCCACTAATTTTGTAATGAGTTGTTGAAACTGGTTTTTTTTCAGCGTGGAAGGAGGCCCTATATATCAACACCCGCGAGGATTTCTTGGGGATGCGGCATCTGTTGAAACGACGTCGCTCCGCTCTGCGAAATTTGGAATTTGCTCCTGCCATCTGCCAATATAGTAGTATTGGATTTTGGAATTTTCCTGCCAATATAGTGTTGGATTTTGGAATTTTTTTTTAAAAAAAAATACTTGCACTCAAGCTATAGTCTTTAGTAGGGGTGGTAAAACTAACTCAAACACATTTGATCCCCCAACTCATTCAAGTTTTAATGAGTTTGAATTAGAACGATCTTTTGAAAAGAGAAAATTGCCTTCAATAACCCTTCAAAATTTTAATAGCCCGTATTTTTTTCCACTTACACGAAATGGCCTTTCAGCCCAAAAATATTATATCTAATAGCCCGAAATGTCTATTTTGTATATTTTTTGTATAGTGATAATCTATTTTCTATATTATTTGTATAGACAGTCTATTTTGTATAGTGACAATCTATTTTGTATATATTTTATATAGTGACAGTCTATTTAGTATATTTTTTGTATAGTCAGTCTATTTTGTATAGTGACAATCTATTTTGTATATATTTTATATAGTGACAGTCTATTTAGTATATTTTTTGTATAGTCAGTTTATTTTGTATTTTTTTGTATAGTGACAGTCTATTGTATATAAATTGTATAGTGACAGTCTATTTAGTATATTTTTTGTATAGTGACAGTCTATTTAGTATATTTTTTTTATAATGACAGTCTATTTTGTATAGTGACAATCTATTGTATATATTTTGTATAGTGATAGTATATTGTATATAAATTGTGCAGTGACAGTCTATTTTGTATATTTTTTGTACAGTGACAGTCTATTTTGTATATTTTTTATATAGTGACAATCTATTTTGTACCCCTACCTTATAAAGAAAGAGAGGTTGTTAAATCCAAATTTTACATGACGTTTAGCATCTAATTATTATTAATTGAGATGTATTTTAAATTTTTATTTAAATTTATCACTTAACTAGATAAATTTTTAGAGGGGGTTTGAATTGGCTTATTTTAAGTGCTTATTGGCTCTTAAGCTTTCTTCTAGTTTTGTAGTGTTTGATAATGATAAAAAGTACTTAAAATACTCACTTTTAGGCATGAAAAATATAAAAATAAGCAAAAAGCCAAAAGTTAGGTATTACCAATTTATGATTTAGTTTTTAACTTATAAGCTACTTTTTAAAAGTCAATCCAAACACCCTCCTCTTCTAACTATAGCAATTTCATTGAAAAAAGGAAAGAAAAAAACTAACTGCACCAACACAAGTCTCCCGTTCTCCGCACGCATGATACCTAACCTAACCCCTCTTGTGTGCATTGAGATCTCTAATGTGCATTAAGTTTGTTTCTTTCAGGACCGTTAAATCAAAATGAGGATAGGTTAACCATTAAAGACATTTGGGATAATAAGGGTTGGGATTTAGAAAAAATATCTTTTAACCTCCCTCAAATAGTCATAAACAATATTACTGCTTTAAATTCAAAACGCCAAGTCAATCACCCAAACAATCTTATTTGGAATCTTAACCCTAGTGGTATATTCTCAACTGCCTCTTGCTATAACCTAGTCGATGAGTAAACACCCCATACATTGACCTTTAAGTGGGTCTGGGAACTAAACTATCCTAACAAAATCAAGTTTTTCATTTGGAAGCTCTACCATAAAAGACTTTCAATAAGAGGCTACCTTGCTAAAATTGGTATCAATATAAATCAGACCTGCCCAATATGTAAGGATAACACTGAATCAATATACCATATCTTCAGGGAATGTAACATAGCTCAGGCTTTCTGGCAAACCCTAAGAGTGACAATTACCAATAAGGGGCAGATTAATAATTGGTTGGAGTTATTACGGGATACAACCCCTAATAAAACTTATAATTATGTAACTTGGAAAGATACACTACCATTTGCTCTTTGGGCCATTTAGAACAACAGAAGCCAAAACAACCACAACAATACCAACTCTCACATTAATGTTAAAACGGTTATTGATCAAACACTAGAATACACTCTTCTCACATGCACGATCAATACTTATAATAAAATCATAAAGGTTGATGTAAAATGGCAGCCGCCACCCAAAGGTTGGTTTAAGGTTAATATCGATGGTGCATTCAAAAGCAACTACCTGGAAGGGGGTATCAGTGGAGTTGTTCGTGACTACAAAGGGAAATGGCAAACAGGATTCTACAAGAAAATTCAAGCAACATCACCAAAATAAACAGAACTCCAAGCTTTTCGGCATGCACTTCAACTAATTATTAGGGAACACACATTCCCAGTTGAAGTAGAAACTGATGCCACAGAGGTCATACGTTTCCTTCACGAAGATTACACAACTTATAATAACTTAATTTTATGAATGCAGATGGTTAATGGAAGAGGCATCCAGGCAGGGGACAATCACATTGAAGCATAGCTTCCGCGAAGGGAATATGGTGGCTCATCTTTTGGCAAAAGCAGCACTAATGCAACGTAGCTACAATAAATTATGTACTGTTGTTTTGTCACCTAAATTTGTTGTAGATGTATATGACAAATATCAAGTTGGATATATATATGCTAGAAACTGTTCTAGAGACCAATGTGGTCGTATGGCTGCTTTAGGAAATGATAGTGCCTTACAAGGCATAATATTAGCTTATGATGGCATTGTACTAATGACAATGTTAACGGGCATTAGCCCTACCTGTGTTTTAATATAAGTACCTTTTTCCTGCTACAAAAAAAAAGTTTGTTTCTTTCTTTTTGTTCACCTTTTTTTCCCTTGTGACAAACATTTAATAGGGTTTGAATATCATGCTAGTTTCTTTTGGAAAGCCAATTTGCCTTTTGCTGTTAAAACTTGTACGGGAAAGTTAATCACCAATTCTAAATGGAGCAAAAATGCCATCTTGAAAAGAAGAGCAAATGGACAAAGTTGCAACTCAACAACTTCAAGAGGAGCTGAATCATGTAACATCTCTTAAGTTCTTTATTTCCATGCACAATGAAAGGTGTAAATATGAGCTATAAATTATTTGATCGACAAAACCTGAAACACTACAAAGCTTGACCCATGTTTCTTGGTATATTTTACTGAGACCTACCATACAGTTTGACTTACCACCCCAGGAAGAAAGAATGTAGCTCCAAAATCACAATCTCTACACTTTTGACTTTGTGGAGCCAGGAAACAATGTAATTTTATGCCTAGCTGTTGCCAAGAACTTAAAGATTAAGAGATGCTCCAAAGAAACGGCGAACATTGACTAGTTCAGCTCCTCTACAAAATGGTGCTAACGGCTTCACTCACTATTGGTCTTGAGATTTCTGTCACTAGTCATTATGATTCTTGTTTAGTCAAAGGGGCAAAAGTTCTTGCGGATCTCTTGAGTTCATGGACATAATGCACAGCCAATGAGGGAGGAAAAAATATATTCCCAAAAACACAAGGACTCCAAGATCAGCCTCTTCACCTACTGCTGGTCGACGAGGACGAACCAAGTATATTTGGGTTGCACACCATAAGCAATATAAGGTAGCAATTACCAAGATCAGCTTGACAGAATTGATAACTCGTAACTTGAGCAGTTTCAGCGGCTTCACTCTGCAAAATAATTACGTCCCAAAGATGACATGTTAATGACAGACCAAGAAACTGGAGACAAAACAAAATCTCATTGAATAATCCATCAGCAAACACCTGTTGATGTAAATAAAGTCGGCGATCAAGCAGGTACATAAAATAGCAATCACAACAACAGCATCTGGATTGATCGGTGCACGGCCTTCCCACCAACCTGTGCTCAATACCCAAGTGTACATAGTAGACTTCCCATTTTCCTGTTACAAGAGGAATAAGGAATTAAGCAAAAAGGGCTATTGCTGAATTCAGGTGGTAGAGAGAGCGTTTGCACTAAAAGCAAAGAAAAGACTCAATTTCTTGGAAACACCATGAAAACAGGTGATTCTGAGATCACTATGACGTTTTTTAGAGAGCCTTACCAATTAAGCCCCACGAACTATAACATGGAAGGAGGTGACTGCACTACTTAAAATAACAATCCGTGCTTCCAAATAGTAATAAAGTTTCCTCCTTTGTCTATGATAGTACATACAATTTCCAATTGCCACCTCCCTTTTTTCATATAACAGTAGATTCCGGACCAGCTTAATCATACCTCAACAATTCCACCTGGTACTTACTAGTTACTACCTCCCACCAGCAAAAATATCAGGCTCTAATTACCACCTCCTTTTTTTAGGCCTTTGGAGGTTTTTCAATAGCCTCCCTTGAGGATTAACTTATTGATTTGATAAGATTCAGTACTACGTTTTTTTCCTTTCATCTATCAAATCACGAATAAAAAAAACATGTTTATAGGCAGATATAGTTGTACTTTTTTTTACAAGTGAAGTTATGGTTATAAATGTAAGGTGTGTTTGATATGAAGGAAAATATTTTCTGGCTTTCCCATATTTGGTTGACTTAAATGTTCTGGAAAATATTTTTCTCATGAACTCATTTTCCTCTTAATTGAACAAAAATGATTTTTCTATCAAGAGGAGGGAAAATATTTTTTAAAACTCTTTTCAACCTTCCCCAACCCTATTCCCCACCCCCAGCCACCTCGCACCGCCTCCCAACCCCCCTTCCACCTCCACCCATGGTGTTTGCCTGAATTATATATTTTTCAAAAAATTATTTTCTACTCACTAATTTTCCAAAAAATATTTTCCACTCACAGACCAAATATGGTTAAATAAGTGACAAAACTATTCCTTTTCCAGAAAACATTTCCAAGGAAAACGTTTTCCTCCATACCAAACACACTTATAGTCCGAATAACTCTCTTCTTTTCTAAGGCAAGGACGTTTCTCTGGAAATAATTGAACCTTTTTAAGCTTGTCCTGCATAATTCTGTTATTTCTTTTTTCTTTTCTTTTTTTGATTGTTTATAATTCTGTTATTTCTTTTGGGGGATGAAGGGGGAAGGATACAGGGCGCAACCAATTC